AATTACGGGGAGCAATTGGGGAAATTGATGACTTGGTGTTCGTTTCTGACAGACATGAAAAACATTCGAAAGGCTCTTTCAACTGTTTTTTCCCAATGCCCATCATGGTGCATGCATATTTCATATAAGTCAAAACATTAGGCACAATTTTAAGCATGAGAGAGCACACAAATTGTATTTTACAGCTACTAAGGCATACAGAGTTCCTGAATTTCTTCGTCTCATGACAGAAATATATAAAGTCGACTCTGAGGTGGGTGATTATCTTAATTCAGCTAGATATGAAAAGTGGACTCGTGCGTGCTTTGATGGAAAGCGGTACAACATCATGACAACAAATATTGTTGAATGCCTTAATGCAATCCCTAGAGATGCTCGAAAGCTACCTATCACACGATTTCTTGAGTATTTAAGAATGAATATTCTCCAGAAGTGGTTTTATAAGCATCGAACCGAGGCAGCCAAAATGAATACACATTTGACAGATTGGACAGACAAGTTGGTGCGAGAAAATAACAAGCAAAGATTATCATTCCAGGTATTTTACTTTATTCACTTAACAAGAATTTATTTTAATTTCTCTATTTAATTTTGGCACATTTTGATTTGTTCTCAAGTTTTTGAACTATTTTACTGATTCTCATATCAAATAATCTGTAACTTTATCCATCTGTACCATGTTATTCTTTATATGTATGTTTGCAATGCAAGAAAGTAAAGTTCAAAACTTGGGTTTGACCAAAAATGTAACTTCAACGTAATTTTGTTGTAGTTTTATGTAAATTGCTTTTTGTAGTTTTTATACGGATTTTGTTGTTGATTAGTTCTTCTTTTGTTTGAGTAATGTGTGTGTGTGTGTGTGTGTGTGTGTGTGTGAATATGCAGGTATCGCCCATAGCAACTTACTAATTTCATATATATACGATAGATTTTGTATTGAAGTTGTGAATTTAGAGGAAAAGAGTTGCACATGCCGGCAATTTTATCTTGACCAGCTACCTTTCTCAAATGCTTGTGCTACATGTAGACACCGACAAATTTCATGTTATCCTATGTGTTCTCATTATTATACTACAAACTTTTTGGTCATTGCATATGCAGAAGCTATATGGCCAGTTCGTGATCAGACCGATTGGATAGTAACTGATGATGTGCATGAAAGAATTGTCCTACCACCAATTACACAAAGAAGATATGGCAGTGCAAAGAAAAGAGGATCCCATCACGTGGGAAAGAAAAATCAACTCGAAAGTGTTCAAAACGTAGTTCAAATGGCCATTATAAGCAAACTTGTAGGAATCTCGTTCAACTTCATCCTACTTTGTAAAACCCTTTTAAATTTACAGTTTAAAGAATACAATTTTCTTTCTATCATTTTATTATTTATATTGGTTGTACAATCCTTTAAATTTGAGACAAGTAAAAGTTAATTTATTTTTGTTTGTTCACTCTGGTATATTGCCTTCTTTATCAACTTCTTCATCTATTCCTGATTATCTTTACCACTACTTGATGTATTGTTCCATCTTCCTTGTTAACTACTAGATTTTCAAAGAGAAACTTATTTGGTTACTATTAGCCGAAAGACTAGTATAAGAGAAAACAACATTTTTAGGTTTTGCGTGAAAACTCATTCATCTAATAGGGTTTTTGATTTTTTTTTTATGCAACGATATATTTTATTTTTAATTTATTAGGTTTAAAGTTTAAGGGTATTTGTGTCTATTTAAATGATATTTACATTTAAAAGTTTTTATAAAAACTAACACTTTTGAAATTAGTAGCAAATATTTGACTATATTTGATAAATACTCATAATATATCTCATATCTTGATCTTTGTCACTTTTCTGCGATGTGCAAGAGTTGGCGGGCTGTTCTAGAATGGGTTCAACTGAGTGCAAACTTGCCATCATCACCATGCCTAAATAGTACATGTGCCCTCTTGGTGCCAAGAGCGATGGTAAAACCGTGAAGACGTTCGAGCTCTTTGATCTGTCATCCAAACGAACGTATCATCATATTGGAAGCACGCATCTGATAGAAGAAGGGAGAGGACTCATTGCCAATGCTCGACTTCATGCTTCAAAATATGGTTGGTTATTGTTCTCAGCTATAGAAAATTTATCCGGTGGCGCGAGGACAGCATTCTTTTTCTTCAATCCCTTCTGCAATCAGATTTTGGAAATGCCTCCGTTAGATTTGAACACGGGTGAAAAGGTAGGGTTTGCAATCTTTACAACCACTCCAACTTCTCCTAATTGTTTCATCCTTGTCCTAGGTGAAAACATAACATCTTATCCTTGCAGTAAAGGATATAGCTTTATATTTACATATAACTCGACAGAGAAAAGATGGAGAAGTGTACGTGGTAATTATGATTTTAATCTAACTGAAGCCAGTGACATCGCATATGTGGATGGAATTTTGTATGTGCGTGGGGAATACTTCTTCATTCGCCTTGGATGCCTTGGATATTTCACTTCAAGCCTGGAAACAATGAAGAAACTACTACATGCCAAGAGAATCTTTTCTCTACGAACCAGTGGAACGTTATTTAGTTGAGTCTGATAGGGAGCTCTTATTGGCGGTTTATTGTGTCAACAATGATCATATCTGATTAAATTTTGGTATGTTTATCGACTTGATTCTTCTCTAAATTCTTGGAGTAGAGTTGAAAGTTTGGGACATCGAGTGGTGTTTATATTCTGCTCGAGTAAACTGTTCAAAACATCAAAAGCAACTGCGAGTCCAGCAGGGGGGAAATTCCACCAAGTCTTAGCGTATAAAACTTGGTTGTTTAATCCAAAAAACCATTGAAAATGCCACATTTTTTGGTGTGAACATTAGCGAATGGATAGAGAATCAATCCATGAAGAACACACAATTGAGAATAGTCGGGCATGATATATAGATGCACATTTTATTTTATTTTGTTACTGTTAACCTAACATGGATATGTGCATACGCAAGATAATGCAGTCGAGTCGCTGTCGGGGACATTTATGCACGTTGCAGCTGCATCTGGAGCAGTATTAGGGTATTTGGAACAACATCTATCAGAGCATGGTTTACTGATGTCTGTACTTGGGCATGGAATGTCCGACTGCATTGCCTGGCGAATTTCAACTTCTTCCTTTTCTCTCTGGTTCAGTATTAAAGAAAGCTCTACACGCATCAATGACGAATTTAGCAAAGAAACAATTTTGCAATCCAAAATTGACCAAACCACTTTCAAATTTAAGCTAAACAATCATCATATCATCAGAACTATAAAAAAATTAAACATTACCCACTAAAAATAAATCAAAACAATTTTTGGATCCTCATTAGCTCACCCTCCCGTCATAGCCTTTTTGGGCTTCCCAGGACCCAGATCTGACCGACCCAGATGACGCAGACGACGAGGTAATCGTTGGAGATGAAGAAGTTGATGTGTTCGGCGTCGGAGATAAAGTCATGCCCGAAGCCTTTGTTGTCAAAATCAAAGTCGATGAGGTGAATCTAGTAGGACAATGCGATGTGCCATTGCAATCGAGGTTGAGGAGGTGAATCAAGCAGAACGAAGCGAAGTTCTTAGCTAATCCTATGGTTTTTTGGAGGACTCATGAAGACCTGTTAGCAATGTCTCTAGCCAAAGTGAGTCTTAGTTAATCTTATTAACACTAGCCCCGCAAGGGAACAAACACTAGACTAGACTAATATTCAATCTAGTCTAGTCCAATGAGAGCTAAGGCAATTTCCAACCGAAGGGTCCAGAGGGCCAGAGAGCCGAAAATAGTCCGAAAATCATCTTCAACCGAAGGCTAGACCAGGGGGCTCGTGGGCCCCACGAAATCTGAAAAGGCCAAGTGGCCAAAGGGCTGGCCATAAATTTAAGAATTGACTTCGGATATAACCAAAAGCATCATTATTAATCCTGTCAATTATATCTGACAGCAATTCTTAAACAAGTTTTTGAATCCAACGGCTAGCTAACGTCAGTTAGCCGTTATTTTTGAATTTTTTTTTTACAGTTTTATTTATTTATTTTATTTACAAAAAAAATTTCCTATAACTTCCATTTTTAAATTCTATTTTTTTTCTATAACTTCTATTTTACAAAATTTGTTTCATATTTTTTTAAAAATTCTATTTTTTTCCTATAACTTCCTAAACCATTATACAACATTAAATTAAATTAAGTAACATGAAACAACATTAAATAATATTAATGAACATAAAAATTATACAACATAAAACAAACATTTAACGACATGAAACTTAAACAATATTTTTAAAAACATTTAACAACATAAAACTTAAACACCTACTTCATGCTTCTTTTGGCCCAAAGATGTGCAACAAGATCCTGTTATAGGTACTTGTTTGTGGCATAGGAACGTATCACTCTATAGGACCTCATGTACTCATTTATAGAGATACTACCAGTTCTTGGATTGAAAGTCAAATTAGGTCCATCATATATTTTTGCACGAGCCATTCTTGACCTATTTGGACTTCTTGGTCATCATCGGACTCTCCATCAATATACTCATCTCACTCATCCTCCACTATCATATTGTGTAATATGATGCAAGACATCATGATGGAGTCCAAATTTTCTCGACTCAACCCTCTTGCCGATTCGCTGATGATTTTCTACCATGCTTGTAGAATACCGAAAGCTCTCTCAACATCTTTCCGATATGCCACTTGGTGTAAGGTAAACAACTTTTCCGCGTCATTCTTAGGGTTTGGAATTGCTTGGACAAGTATCGCCCACTTTGGGTAGATGTCATCTGCCAAGTAATACCTCATATTGTATTGACGGTCGTTGATGTAGTAGTCAAGTTGAGGTGTTTTACCTTCCGTCAGGCGATTGAAAAGGGATGAAAGCCCAAGAACTGTAATGTCATTTTGGGATCCAGGGACTCTAAAGAAAGCATGTCAGATCCATGTGTTATATGAGGCAACCGCCTCTAACACAACAGTTGGCTTTCTCGACCTTCCGTTAAAGCCTCATTGCCATCCAATGGGATAGTTCTTCCAATCCCAATGCATGCAGTCTAATGACCCTATCATGCCTGGAAACCCACGGTCTTTAGTTTTGCGAATGAGTTGATTCAGATCTTCTTGATTTGGCTCGCGGAGGTACTCATCTTTGTAAACCTGAACAATTGTGTCACATAATTGTTCAAGAGTATCAAGGCATGTAGACTCAGACATACCATGGGTTTCATTCATCGAATCAGCTGGGGAGGCATAGGCCATCATTCGGAGTGCAACAATAACATTCTGATGAGGTGAGAAACCAGGACATCCTTCTATGTCCCGCTTTTGTCGAAAGTATAGATTAACCTGCTGGACATCACAAAGTAAACACTCGAAGACATGATGCATCATCCGGAAGCAACGTCTGAAATCCTCTTTTGTGTACATCAAGTTAGGGTTGAAGTAGTTGTTCATCAGATTGGCATGCATCATCGCTCTGTCTCGTGTTTGTAAGAGCGACCAGCAATAGAGCCACCCCATTGAGGTTGTTTCTCAGTTGGCTGACACACCATAGATGCTGCTCTATTTTGTTTGTTGCGCCTTACTTGAACTTCTTTATCAGACTCCTTATCTTCTCGTCTAATTTGTGCCCATTTTTCTTCCAATTTGGAATTGGATGAGGACCCCCAATTGGAATCCGAAGATGATCCAAAGTTGGAATTCATTGCAAACTTGAATTGAAAGAGATTGAATTGAAATAAATTGAATTCAAAGTTGTGTGAATTATAACCCAATATCCACCCTATTTATAGCAAAAAAAAATTCAAATCCAACGGCTAGCTGACGTCACTTAGCCGTTGGATTTGAATTTAAGTTGTAGTTTTTAAATAATAAATTATGTTTGGCCCTTTGGCCCTCGGTTGGAGATGGAAACAAATATGATAATGTACTGTTCATTAAAATATTAATTTCTTGGAGGGTTAGAAGGCTAAAATGAGCTCTCTGAACAGCCCTTGATTGGAGATGGCATAAGACCGGCAAACAAACGGACTAGGATTCTCTTCCTTCCTCTTTCCATCTCCTTCCGTCCCCTCCTCTTACATTCTTTATTTTGTCTTACTTTTTCTATAAAAAATTAATACAAGATGTTGACGTGGTTTAACCGTGGCCGTTCATATAGGAAGGGAGGGAAAAAAAGAGGGGAGAGAATCCTACTCCCAAACAAACGCCCCCTAACATTATTATTTTAGAATAGAAGAAAAACTTACAAATAGTGCTCTATACTTTTGACATTGTCGTTCATGTAGTGTTGTATTTATAGAGTTGAAAGTGGGTAGGTTTAGAGTACAAGTACGGTGGTTAAGTATAAACAGAAATTAGTATCTGAACAAATCCTCTCAAATTAATGTTTGAGTTAGGCTACATGGAAATGTTAAACAAGCATAATCCCCACCAAATGCATTTCAACTTTAAAAAGGAAATGCTGCAAAAACACTGGCCCAAATTTGGTTACAAAAATAGCGACACAAATACAGACTTTGTACTTTGTTTCCTATTAACATTGCCCACTAATACTTGGATTTGTTTCCTATGGACAGACAACACCAATTATTGTACCCAGATTTTTAGTAATGAAACGAACACAATCCTCTTCCCCTAAATAAACCCTCCCTTTGGATGATATCATAATTCTGAATTTCTTCTTCTCTTCCGAGCTCTTCTTGTCGAATTCACGGACCGCACCAACACCGACTTAGCAGTTTTGGATCTGGTCCTCTCTCCTTAGAGCATATCCGAAAGAGATATCAAATATAATATGTTAAAATTTTATCTGATAACTGATGTGATAAATTAAATATAAGTGCTAAATTTTCTTCTTTTCTAATGAATGTGTCCAATATTTATTTAATTAGACCTAGAGTTATATTAACTATTAAAAAATAATCAAAACTAATTTTAGTTTTCATTCTATCAGTTGTTAATGGGAATCATGCATTGAAAAATTAAATTAAATATATTAAACTTCTTTGTTTGATCTAAAAATAGATAACTAGAAAGTAAAAAGTCAAACTCCTCAACTGCCACATCATATATAACAAATATATTAAAGAACACCTAAATATCTTATAATCATATTTAGACATTCCGTTTGAAAATAATCTTAGACTTGTATGATACGGCACTAGCCAAACGGCAACACTGCCCTTGGCTAGCCTGCATTTCTTGCACTAATTCATCCACATTAATTCACCAAAAACTAAGACTCATTTCCGTAATTTATATTCAATTTATCCTCTAGCAAAATTTGTAATTCTTCTAAATTCCTGCTCAGAAATTATTTGTGCACACGCTTTTCAGCTTCCACTCAACCGTTTTATATGACGATATGAAAGATGAGACATTATTTGTGCACACGCTTTTCAGCTTCCACTCAACCGTTTTATATGACGATATGAAAGATGAGACGTTCAGATTTAATATAATATCAAACTCATTCCTCCCACTTACGAATAAAGAGAAATATCACGAATAAAAAGAAATATCGCTAGTAGCTAATATTAGCAAGCTGAAAACAGCATTTAAACCAAACTGAGATACAACGAAACTGATGCCAAGTAACGTGACATCTCTAAAATACCACACTCAAAACGTTTGCTTCTTTGCCTTTTCCTTCCAGGCACAATTCTTGGAATCTATGATTAACCAGACCATGAAAGAGATTAAAATACCCTAAACTTTCAGTGACTTATAGCTCATGTGCCACTCTCACTCTTTTCTAACCTCCAAAGTCATTTAGCAATTTCTTCCGGGAGGTGTGGGGAATACTTCTCCATGAGATGGGTTAATTTGGCATCAAAATCCCTCTCCAGTTCTACCTCTTCCTCCCAATGCCTCCGCTTCATTGCAGCTTTATTGTCTTCATGACCCTTCATCAGCATGTCCCGCTCTGCCACAAATTCTTCCATCTCTTTTTCTTGAGACTTGATGAAGTTTTCAATTTCCTCCGACCTACGGCCATGAGTATGGAAGAAATATAAATCATTATCAAACCAAACCCAGAAGCACCACATGGCTAAAAGTATTGAACCCACTACTGGGGCCCTAACTTTCTCGTCTACGAGGATTCTTTGACACAAATTACCTGTATTTTTGTTCCTCTGCGTTTGAAGGGTTGAGATATGAGTGCTTCACCTTGTCACGTTCCTCCTGCTGCAGCCTCTCAAAATTTTCTTCCTTTGCATCCCTTGATTCATGAATTATCTTGATCTGGTCTTTGAAAAATTGTTCTTGCAGATACATCTTTTCACACCAAAAAGACAAACAAACAAACCAATAAACGAAACAAAACAACAGAGCAAGTAAATCTGCAAAAAAAAAAAAAAAAACAAACAACAAATACATACGAAATATTTGGAAGCCACAAGGAAAAACAAACGGTGGTAAACCACGCAACATGGTGAAAAATACCAACTGTAGACAAGCCAAACCCTGATGCAAGTGTAAACTAGTTTCTACTCTAATATTGGGGCATAATTATCTGACAGCGAAACTTACCTCTTCTTTGTTCTCTTGGTGCTGCAATTTGGTCCTCTGTCTTACAATACGATTTTCCTCCGTCGTCTTCCTGAGCTTTTCACTCACTATACCCAGAGATTCCTCAAGGGCTTTTGCATGTCTCTGTTCCTTAGCAACCTTGTTCTTAAACCACATAAGCTGTTGGTTGTCCTCACTCATTTGCCTGATTTGGTTCACGACCATCTCCTGGTATGATCTCATCTCAAATTTCAGCTTAGATTTACCTAATTAGTAATGGGAGCATGTCATACATCCATATACAACATTTCCAGGGATCTTAATTGCAGAATAAAATTCAATGGATCAAAGTTAGCATGTGAACTTCAGAGATTTTAAGTGAAAACTCATTATTTTATGCCCAAAATGACCATCCAAAACCAAAACACAGAGGGCAAGGGGAAGAGAGAGGAACACACCTTGAGAATGCTGGTTAAAACTGTCCATGTCTTCTTTCATTGCCATGTACCCATAGAGCTGTCGCTTCCCACCAGGATGAAATAAAACACGACGACGGTCCCATGCATCTCTATCAGTTCCTTGCTCTGTAAAATGCTTGTGAAGACGCTCAGCCTCCAAATAACCCCTTGCAGAGGCCTCAAAGATCAAAACGCTCAACCCACGGTGTCCTTGAGGACCATATGAGTGTCGAGCTCTCACAGCAGCATAAGAGCTGAAGTAGTCAAGAAGCTCCTGATTTCCCATGCCAATCCACTGAAATTCAAAGCAACAGAAAATGAGGGACTGGAAATGATAACAAGGCAAGGAACCTTGGCTTTATAAACAATCATGAAAATGTAAACCGACTGATACTTGAAATACCAATTTGAAAAACATAATTAATACCTTGTCATCTTCATCCTGCTCAAGTTTAGTGTTTAAGATGACAACCATAGGAGGCCAGACAATTTCATGATCTTTTTCCTCATCTTTCAAACCTTTCCATTTACCAAAAGCTTCACCAGCAGGTACAACTGTAGTTCCCTTCCTCCTCAACTCCTCATCCAAAAGCTCTGCAAGCTCTCTATGGAGCATTACCCTTTTTGATCCTTTTGTTTTGGCATGTGTCATCAGGGGCTGCAGGCCTCGGTACCAATCAATGGAACCAGGACCTCCTTGACATGCAGGACAGTGCCACTGCCTAGCAGGATCATTAATCTCATCAGCAGTTAAACTATCCAAAATCTCAAAGAATTTCTTGAACCATCTGCTATTTTTTCGAGTTTCATGGCTCTTTTCACTTGAATCCGAGTCAAACTCATCGCTGAACAGCTCATCGTCGGTATCACCCGCAGCATCAGAGTTGTCATCATCATCATTGGCAGCATCAGCAGCAGCCGCATCACTGTCCTTATCATCTTTTCCGTGGAAATCATCTGAACCCTTGGGTTGAGTGAAACCAGCTCTGGATTGCCAGTTCCATCCATGGTCCAGTGGAGGGGGAATCACATTTCCTCTTCCCGCTGGTTTTCTCGTATTAGAAGTTTGTGAAGGCCAGAAGTTTCCGGCACCCCTTCCTGATCCACCATTGTTCCGCATTGGCTTCTGAGCATCGACCGGTGTCCAAGCTTTAGAATTAGAACTTTGAGTACCCCATTGTCTTGCAGCACTGCTTCCAGCTCTGTTCTTTGACTTCCTGGCAATCACCTCCCACTCTCCGTCACCCTTGGCCGAACCCAGGCTAACGTCTGCAACACCATGACTCAACTCTTCAATCTTGGGGCTACTTCCTCCAGAGACATCTTTTCCCTTGAAATTTCCACCACTTCTTCTCGCACTCATCGTACCAAACAATCCCTTTTCTGCAACACTGTTTTAAGCAAAAAAATGCCATGAAAACATGAAAAATATTCACAGAATAATGTACATGCGTGTAATCTCCTCACAGCTACGTTTCCAATTTATTTTTTTTTTATAAAAATTTTGACATGATTTTAACCAAAATATAAGGAAACCCATGTCCAATTGTCCTTTGAATTTTTTTTTACCTCTCTTCATTTTCCCATCAACCAAACAGAGCGCAAAAAACAAGTTTTTTAGGTCAAACGCTAAACACATAATAATAAAAGCAAAAACCCTAAAACATTTCAGTAAGCTTCCATTCCATTCACAGAAATGTGGCAGATCTAACGCTCTGGACACAGAAAATCAAAACACAAGTTCAACTCCGATCCACATTGGTACGCCCAAAAGTTGAATATTCACAACAAAAACCCTCAAAACCCCTCTTATAAGTAGACGGTAGAGAGAGAAAAGTGAGCGATTACCTGATGAACAACGCTGATCGTCGTCGGAAAAGGAGTAATGTGCGCCGGAGGGAGAGATTCCCGATGGGTGGTGTGTATCACGCGCTCTCCAAGTGTAAGCGAGGTCGAGGAAGTGAGAGTGAGAGTGAGTCGTAGCAGAAGAAATGGCGTGGAAGGGTAGCCTCTTTTATCGTGATTCGTGAGTCAAGTCTGCACCTCTGTTGGGTCCGGATTCCAAACCATTATTAAATCTCGTTTGTTTTATATCTTTTCTTTTTCTTCTAATGGCGTGGGAAGGAAGTCTTAACCATTAAGACAATGCCTTTTTAACATAATATGTTAACTCGACTCGAAACGTCATAAAAATAACAAGATCAACAATTCTACATTATAACTTATTAGATTGTTCTACAAGATTACGAGTGGATACCCATTTCAACCTGATAAGTTAAAAATTAGGTCGATAATTTTAAACTACTAAAAACATTTCTACAATGTATTTAATATCACATAAAATTTCAAAGCACATTAAGAAAACCTTATTATAAGTGAGATTAAAAAATTTCAAAGCAAATTAAAAATACTAAAGCAATTTGAAAAGAATCCGGATCACTTTTGTGAGAATTATGTGGATCCGTGAATTATATTTGTTCATCGTACATCGTGTGGTTAGAAATCATTTTTAATATTTTTTAGGGTAAATTACACTGTACCACCTCAGATTTGCTGTCTATTACAACCTCATACAACATTTTCAAAACATTTCACTTTTATACCTCAAATACTATTTTGTTTCAATATAATACATCTGTTATATTTTCCATTCATTGTTCAGTTAAGAGTTGACGTGACTGTCACATTTGTTCCACATAGCAAAAAAAGATTTTTTTATGAATTTAAAAATAATTAATTAAAGAAAAGTTTTATATATAAAAAAAATTAAAATAAATAACCCTAAAACCCATATTCCCCGACCCACTTCTCCTCCACTCTCTTCACCTCCCCTCCCTTCTCTCTCCCACTCCTCCCTCTTCACCTCCCGCCACACCCCCCGCCGCCTCCTTTCCCTCCCATTCCACCAAACCCACTCTCCAATTCCCCTTCAACCCCTAAACCCCTACCCTCACCCACCGCACCACCCACATCCGCCCCCTCACCGTCGTCGAAGCCCTAGAAAAGATCAAGAAGCTCGGCACCAACATCTCCAGCATCACCCTCGAGGAAGCTCGCATCCTCGTCGACTACTTCCAGGACAAGCTCGACGTCTCCACTGCAGCCCTCGCTTCAGCCGCCATTGTGGCCATTGCACCAGGAGTGGGCGAGGCCTCAAATCTGTGGAGGAGAAGACGGAGTTCGATGTGGAGGAGAAAGTGGAGAGGAGGGTGGGGTAATGGACTAGGAGTTGTTTGGCATTGGGTCTAGATTTGTTAAGTTTTAATCTTTATGCAAAAATTTGAATTTTCTGCATTTTTGTTCTTGGGTTCGGATTTTGGAAAATTGGGGTTGGAATCCATTGAAATTTTGAAGTTATTTACTGTTTGGTTGCCTAGAAAACGAGGGAAAATTGATGGGAAAGCTGGGTAATCTGTTTTAGAACAAATTTGGGTAATCTAGGTGGGGTGGGGGGTTGCAGGGGAGGTGGGATAGGGGGTTTGGGTTGCGGGGAAGGGGAAGGGATCGGTTGGGGGAGGTGAAGAGAGTGGAGGAGATGGGTGAGGGGGGGGGGTTGCGGGGAAGGGGAAGGAATGGGTTTCTAGGAATTTTTTTTCACTTTTCTTTAATTAATTATTTTTAAATGCATAAATTTTTTTTTGCCACGTCGCATAAATGTGGCAGTCACATCAACTCTTAACAGAACAATGGATGGAAAATGTAACGGATGTATTATATTGAAATAAAATAGTACTTGAGGTATGAAAGTGAAATGTTTTGAAGATGTTGTATGAGGTTGTAATAGAACTCAAATCTGAGGTGGTACAGTGTAATTTACCCTATTTTTTATTTAAAATTAAATACAAACAGTACCTGACAAAAATTGACTGCATTGATGTAGGATAAACGGACATGATTTATGGATTTCCAGAATACTCACTAAAAAGATCCGGTTGGATTTAAAAATACCAAAGCATATTAAAAAATTCATAATATTTAATTTACAATTGTAAAAAATGTGAAAAAAAAAACATGCAAAAGCTCATGAACATATTATCTATGCTTTGACGATCAATACATCGTCATTTAGATTTTTAAACCTTACAAACTCTTGTGAACTGGGTTTTTAGGGGAAGTTCAAAATAAACAAAAATTCATAATAATTAATGTAAAGGTTTGAAAAGAATATACAAAATGCATGTGATTGCATCATCTGCGCTTAGACGATGGTTACATTGTCGTTTAGATTTTTAAAACCCTCCAAATCATCATGAATAGAGTTTATTATTTTAGTGTATAATTAATAATAATTCATAATAATTAACATAAACATATGGAAAATGTAAAAAAAAATATGCAATCACTCGAAACAACAAGCTTTATAATTGTGGTGAAGGGATCAACTCCGAAATTCTTTACTATAATCTATAACCCCTCTATTTATATTTAACCGTCAATTATCGTTTATGCTATATTATTCTCATCGGATCTTATTTTTCACATTTTGTTATAAAGAAGAAAAACAGAGGAGAAAAAGAAAGCAATGGTTAATGGTTTTCCTGAGGGCAAACTTCACAAACACAGGCCACTAACTTGTTTGTAAAATCTTCTGATCTGGGCCCATATCGGCTTATGCATATATCACTGTGCCTTGTTACAATGACCAATTTATCCCATAGGAGGATATCCTTCTGGTGGTCAGTAGTAAACCCGCAATTTGGAAAAGGATATAGCTCAAATTCTTGCCAATCCACTCTCTCTGTTTGCTCAAGACGGCCAATTTCCCAGCCAATTCTTCTGCAATGGCTCGCTTGGCAAACTTAAATGGAGTCTCCGAAACGCTGCCGGTCCTTCCAAGGTTTCCGAGCGTACAAACAACCCGAAAGAAAGCGAGCTTTATTTGCTTTACGGGCAAGAAAAGCAATGATTTTCAGGAACAGCCACTACAAACTACAAGAAGAATTGCATTGGGCCTGGCCTCTGTTGCACTTGTTGGCAACCCCTGCAATGGTGTCTCTCTTGCTGAGGGCAATGGGTTCTGGCTCGACGGCCCTCTGCCCGTGCCTTCGGCTCAAAACAGTAAGTTTTGTACCGAGAAGTTTACTGGTACAGCATTTGCTACATTGTCACTCACTCGAACCATGTGTTTTGATGCAGAAATTGCAAATGAGAAGACGGGAACGCGGTCTTTTCTGAAGAGGGGACTCTACATGGCAAATATCGGAACCAAAGGGAGGAAGTTCAGGCTTAAGAAGTACGCAAATGATCTCCTGGCAATGGCGGATTTGATTACGAAAGATACACTAAACTATGTCCGAAGGTATCTGCGGCTGAAATCCACATTCATGTACTTTGATTTCGACCAAGTTATCTCTGCAGCACCGGTCGACGAGAAACAACCACTCACAAATCTTGCTAACAGATTGTTTGACACCGTCGAAAAGGTAACGATAAAACGAACACATAACTTCTTAGATCCTATGCAGCTGCTTGAAAAAGTTTAACTTGTTTCTTCCAATTTGTCAACAGCTTGATGGCGCCGTGAAGCAACGCGACCTCCCTCAGACAGAAACATACTACAAAGACACAACAGTTGTTCTCCAAGAGGTCATGGATCGAATGGCGTGAATTCTTAAAACCTGTTCATCTGATAGAGAAAAATTAGTCTTTCCTACCGATGTGTAAGTCTCCTTCAAAGCATATAACTTGTACACGACAAATGAGTTAAGATTTTCCGAGATTATGACTATGAGCGCGGACTATTTTTCGCTTCTAGTCAGTTTTACTTCATCGACGTTCAACAAGCAATCAAGCATTACTACAGAAGACTCGAGAGGAAAAAGATTATCGAGTAATGAAGCTCAATCAAATCACTCGTTAGAACAGAGAGTTCTCCGAATTTACTGACACGCATACCCTATTTCTTCACTATACAGATAAGCCTACGTTAGAACAACTCTTGAATTTCGCTTCATGGTACTACTGGTACACAACACAAACCAGTGGTTACTTTTAAATCAAAAAAGAAGTCTTGGATCAAAGATCAACCATAGCTCATACGTGAATCTGGAGGCCGCATGCTGGTCTGACGCCGTGGAACCCCAATATCGCAAGCGTTTACCCGTGAGGCAAAACGAAGGGAACAGAGTGATTCACCTGCTGAGGAGGGCTCGGGAGAAATGTTTACGAACATCAATGTCTTTGAGTCTCCTCCTAGACATGGCTGGTCAAAATTTCGTTAAGAGTTTAGAATATGATAGGATGTTTAAACTTAAAATTGTTTTCGCATATCACTTAAACAAGTAAACAACCTGAAGAAGATATGTAAGCTTTGAGTTCCTAAATGGTACGTGGTCCTCCTTCTTTGCCAAGGCAAATATCACGTCGCTTAAAGATGATAGACTTTTGTTGATGGCCTGATTTCAGGGGGAAGACGATTACTACAAAAGAAAAATAAGAAACATATAAACAAATAGACTACGAAGGTTAACATAAAATACCTGAGTTTCTTTCAGTCGGTCTCCCGTTGACCCACTCTTGGAAAGTCGTTCACTCCCAGCAAGATCAATAAGATTCAGAACACCTTGTACTTGTTGTTCAGTGCTCTAAGATGAGATGATAAGTTAAGAAGTAAGCACAGTAACGAAAATATGAAAAAAGATAAGACCAAGAAACTAATTTTTTCAATCAGAAGATAATCTGCAGAGAAAATGGAAGTCGCTTACCTCATTAACACCAGATATCCGTAGTGTGAAAACAAAATGGCTTCTTGAAGATTGCTCGTTCATTTGAGTTTTGCCTACAGACCTAAAAGGAACCAAGTGGAACATAAGTAAGCACCTTTCTTTCAATAGCAATTTTCATCCTTTAAACAAAATCAGCAAATCCAATTTTCATCGAGTTAGAGTTAGATCCCCACCGTCAAGCATTGGTACTGCTGGGGAAAGTTAAGAAGGATTTAGAAACATGCATTGGAATACTAGTTATATGTTGTAGTCTTATAGACAACTAAATTTCTCCAACGAAACAAAACTAAAAAAAGGCACACAGTTAGATTTAGAAACCTGCTATGTTCAGCCCGTTCTAAGAGATATGAGACCTCTTTAGCAGTGCACACATCAACAATGGTAAGATCAGAGACATGAGTGTTCCCATTTGCATCGTGTTTGATTGTATATTGCTTTCCACCAATACCATTTTCTCGCAACATATCTGAAGATGATCGATTGGGTGCTAACAGATCACGAATAGTTTCATTGTATATTTCCAACATCGACACCTACATATATTTGTCAAACAAAAAAGAAAATTACATATGAAATGAATATATTCATTAATGCATTAACAGCAAAATAACTGTTCAGAGAGAGAGAGAGAGAGAGAGATTCCCCTCACCTGCATTTCATATTTCCAACCTTGTGGTTGAAGAGACTGTATGGTTTTAAAAATTTGTTCTAATGAACGAGGAACCAACCCTTTTTGGTCTTGATCTCCTGGCTTACCCATCATGGTATAGGTTTTCCCTGATCCTGTCTGACCATAGGCAAAAATGCAAACCTAAAACAAGAAGCCACCATCATTAGGCTACGAGTGTACAATTCAATCACTGAACAGATATATAAAACCAATAAAGTGAATGCAAAGAATATGCATGTCACCAAATTCATAACCAAATACAATACACCCTCCTAAAGACAGACAAGCACATAATATGTGTGTGCTTATGCACCAGATACATATGTTCCACTGCCCATACAACTTTCAGGTTATCAATTTGTAAAAAAGGAAACAAAAATGTGATAACATTCTAACAAATATACAGCATGCATCTATAAGTATCTTCACATATTGCATGAAAAAAATAATAATAATAAATTAAAGATCCTAGGTGAAGCATATAGTATAACATGGATATAAAGTTAAATGTTGATACAAAATTACAAATCGAAAGCTTTTCTACCGAAACTAATAAGACAAATTTGGAATGAAATTGATAAAACTAGATGATAAAGGCATTGCTTTGATGAAATGCAAAGAGTAACTTAAACAAGGTAACAGGCTTTTAATCACCTTATAACCATCAAGAGCACTTTGTACGAGCTGTGAAATGTCTTCAAACACATCTTCTTGTGATATTTCAGGCATAAAAACTTTGTCAAATGTGAAAGAATGTTTTTGCCCTGATGACAAATACAGGCAATATGTGAATTTGAATAGCACAGAATAGGACAGCCTACAAGAGAAAGCTATCTACTATTGCTTAACATACCAGGTTGCACTAAATCAATGCCCCGTCCAAGAGCATCCATTGATGTTGGATAAGAGATAACCTTCCCTTCAGTGCTTACGTCTTCATCCGCCAACAAAGGTCGCACTCGACAGAATACACGGATGTTCCCTTTTAGTTCCTATAGAACGAGAGAATTTACAAGCTGATAGCAGAAGTAGCAGATAAAAAAGCAAAGGCAAAAGATTTACCAAGATAGTGTTGTGCAACTTTTTACGCAGCATTTCTCCTTCAATAAGTTTGAATTCTGCATCTGCCAGGCGAGTTTGTAACTCACTTATAAGTTTCTTTTGCCCTTCATAGTCAGTTCTTGTTTCCAGTGTAGTTAAGTTGGACATCTAGAAGAAAACATATCTATACTTAGAAAGTTTAATCAACATGATGAATAACACGTTAAACATTGCATTCCACAACACCAACAATGTAGATAACCCGTATTATCCTTAGTCACAAAAGAACCAGATATTATCACCTGTACTTTCTCCTCTGCAATCATTAGTTGGTCCTTCAATGTCTTTATCTGGTCAGTCTGAGACAGACATCTTACCTGAAGAATACCCGCCACTATAGTATGTTAACAAATGCTATTAGAAACAAAACCCACAGAACTACCAGAAAAGAATTATAAAATGACCTCCAGTTCGGTATATTTTGATTTGAGGTTATCCACCTCAAAACTAGATTTCTCGGTGGATTCTTTGTATGTTGTATATTCAGCTGTTAGGGTCTGCACTTGGAGTTTATGACGATCCCGATCATCTCTCACTTGCTGCAACTCCATCCTAAGGGATGCAACTTCATTTACCAAAGCATCCCTCTGCTTTATAGCATCATCTTGAGTTTGCTGTATGTCATCCATCAAATAAAGGTTTGAAACAGTTCATTTTCAGAAGCAAAAATCTAAAATGCACTGAAGAAACAAAAGTCAGGACTACAGAACATGGTCAGAACTTTTTCAAGATTATTTCATCATAATGTGAGTCATAAAACATACTAATAACAACAACCTTCGTAGAATTTTCAATACATGCCTACTTAGGAGAACACATAAGTCAGATTTATAGATACATAATAAGAGAAATTCCTTATGCAATTAGAAACAATTCAAGATAATAAACTCACTTTGGACACTGAAAGTTGACCCCTTAGCATGCTCAGGTTCTCCACCATACAAACTTTTTCCTTCTCTACGCGCTTAAAGTCTTCCTCAACTGTAGAGAGGTCGTTGTGCAGTTTACTATTGTACTGTTGCAAGCTTGCAATGTATTCTTGCAATCGTTTGTACATATCATTCAGTGAAGTTATCTGCGGAGCTCATAAAAGAATATCATTCAGATTAAAACATTTGTAAGGAATTCCATACCTGTCAACATGGAAGCAAAAGAAGGAAAGGAATGCACATTCTACTTTACCTTCTGCGTAGCACTTGAAAGCTCTCTTTGAACTCTCCCATGCTCATCCGATAGGGAATTTTGTGATCGCTCAATTTCAAGTCTAGTCTCTCTTTCCCTCGCGAGAGATTCCATTGCAGCCTGATAGACATATCAAAACATTTAATAATCTACAGAAATTAACCAAACTCAGCCAGATTGGATATCAAACCCACCCTACTTACCATCTTATCCAACTCTTCTTTTGTAAATTTCTCTTGTAAGGAAGCATAGTTTTTCCTCAGCTCCGCAATAATCGAATTCAGTTCTTCTTCCTTGTTTTTCAGTAAGATCCCTACAATAAAACAAATATAATTACTCTAGTAAACAACTTCATTGAGAATTCAACGACACAAAAGACGTTATTCATACCCATTTCATCCCGCTGCCGCTCTGAAACTTCCACATCATTCTCTAACTTCTTGCGCTCAATTAAGTAGCTTTCTTCAAGCTCTTGAAACCACTTTATGCAAAGTTTCAGCCTTTTAATATACTCACTCATAGTCTCACATTTTTCCTAGAAAATCATTCAACATAAAATTGAAAAATATCCAAAACCCGTCTCAGGTAAACTAATCCAAATAAAAATTCAAAAAATTCATACATACAAATTTCAAAGAGAAAAATATTATAATTAAATTAAATTAATAAGTGAAAGCTAATACCTTGAGACTGAACCTGTCCTTCCTTTTGGGTCTCTCATTCAACAATGCGTCAACATCCTCTCTGGTAAACTCAATACCACCGCTCTCCGAACCGGCATTACTCACCGGAGCGCTGCTCGGACCCAACTCTTGGCCCCCGTTCACCACCGAGAACGCGTGCCGGACCCTCCCATTTTTCGCGGGGCCCACCATTTTTGCCCTCTCGAAAATTTCGACACTTGTCAAAAACCTCACTTCAATACTTCATCATCTCACCGACCCAACACTTGTAAAAAGAAAAAGCAAACAATTTTCAAGAACAACCCAGAAAAGAATGGCGAAGACAAAAGCAACCCAATGTGAGAATGTGAAAACTTGGTGCCCTAGCTACGTTTCTCCAG